CTCTTTTTATTGATGGGATGTACCCAGTAACGTTTTTTTCTTTTTTTTTTTTTAGTAGAGCAAAGAGAAGAAGAATTTCTTCCTCGTCAGAGCTAGACATTGCAAACACAGGCACGTTAGGTTATTTTCTATGACAGGCACGTCCGACTGCAGAAAAATATCGCATCCTGTGTGGCGTTATAGATCGCTTTACCGCAGCGAAGATCGCGCGAAAGTTGCCCGCCGCGACAGATCGCGTTCTGTGTGCCAAAGCCTTATTCTTTTCTTGAGTGATATATTTTGTTTTTTTTTTAGTTTTTTTTTGTTTATTGTGTGATATATTTGGTTTTTGTAGTTTAGTAGTACAATGGAAGTCCGAAATTCTTTTAGTTTTAATACTCAGTCATTGTCTACGGCATTCAAAGTAATTTTTATTATTAGGTATCCTGCAAAATGACAAACAAGATTAATTTCTAAATTACTGTTTTTCTGATTATCCGTATCTATTTTTAATTTTTATGGATAGCTCATGACAATTCAGAGTGAAAAGAAAAGAGGTCTCATTTTTTTTATTAATTATTAAGGTCTGCTGTTTTTAATAAGATGTTTGCCAGATCATTTTGGCAATTTTCAGTACCCGTATGTAATATTCGGACACAAAGTTTTTAAATGTTCTTCTAAACTGGATGAATTTATCCTGGATGGGAATAATGACAGGTTTACAAGATATTGGAATTAGAAGAATTACAAGATAAAGTTGTACTAGATTTTTATGAGTGCAACTGTACACTCAAATCGCTTGTCGCTAAGCTTTTATATAATATAAAATTGTGTAATGAGATAATAAAAGTTTTAAAGAAAAAGCTTATTTTTTCTTTTTAATGTATTTAAATAAAAGCTTGTTTTTAAAAAGTTTTTTTTCTTAAATTTATTTTTTACTTTTTAAGTTATGCTGGTTTCTCAGTGCCACACACTTAAACTCAATTCTTTTTCTTAAATAACTACCTATGGGCATCCTAATTATATGTTTATCGATTTTCATAAAAAAGGAGAACTTAAAAAAACGACAGCTGTCAAATTTGACAGTTCAATTGTGAGACAAATAAAATGAAAACCGACTATGGGGTAGGGAGCATCCAATATATCGATTTTTATCAAAATCAGACAACTTTGAGATTTTTTTGACAGCTGTCAAATTTGACAGCTCAATTTTTTTTCTTTCCTTTTAACCCATGGCCATCCTATATATAGATTTTTATCAAAATCGGACAACATTGAAATTTTTTTGACAGCTGTTAAATTTGACAGCTCATTTTTTTTCTTTCATTTTAGCCCATGGCCATCCTATATATCGATTTTTATCAAAATCGGACAACTTTGAAATTTTTTTGACAGCTGTCAAATTTGACGGCTCAAATTTTTTTTGACGGCTTGGCTTTTAAAAAAATAGCCAAATATTTATATTTAAATTCATCAGTTACTTTTCTCCCTTTAGCTGATTTGTTAATTTGTGCAATTTGAATATTAACAAAATTTGCTATGTCCATTGATGGACATAATTTGTACGTAGCCTCTTTAGATTGTTCAATAGATAATTTATTGGGTATTTCTTTAATTCTTGTTTGTAACTCCTGGACTCCTGGCATGTTTTTTAATTTTAATTGTCTATTCTCTAAAGTTAAATGTTTAATTGAGAGTATGCGCGGTTAACGATTCATTTGTTTAGATAAAAGTATTGTGTAAATAAAATTCAGTTTCAGTCAATTACAGTATTTTTTTAATACGACCCTGTCTAGCAATAGTTTATTTTCTGGGAAATTTTTTGATACGTTTTAATCCGGCCCTGACTCGGCACCCATAATGGTGTTTTCAAGGTCAAATTTTATAGAAATTTTAAACAATGGTATCTGGGCAGAGTTAGCCTGCCGTGTGATTTATATGCCGTGGTAATAGAATAAAAAATAAAATACCGGGTGGCGTCTCAAAAGTGGCTCACCCCTATAACTTTTTTTTATTTTTTCGGATAAAAAAAAACGAGATTTGGTATGTTAGTATATGACATAAATTAGGATTGATTTATGTATTCAATTGTTTTTGGTCACTTCCTCTTTCACCGGAAATTACTACAATTTTTGATTTTTAAATAGCACCCTCGGAATTTTTTTACTTTATTCGATAGAAAATGATATTCAGAATAGAATGACATATCATTATGTCAACTTTTGACATTCTCGCTTAATAAAAAATCGTATTTTAAATTCAATCTAGAGTGCCATGGCTATGTTAAAAACACTAAATCTTAATCATGGAGCCTTGGAAAATAGATTTAATCGTCTAATGTTTTTAGTATCTTGTCCTGGCCAGTTGGAAGATGCTCAAATCGTATTTTTAATCAATTTTTTCAAATGAAACGAGGGTGGCTTATTCGCATACTTGGAAAAAGCATTTTTTTAGGAATAATTTGATACCACATGGTGTTTTGAGTCAAATTTTCGTTACTAACCCCCAGTTATAATTTCAAATAAATCATATACAAAAATGTCAAAAGTTGACATATGATATGTCATTCTATTCAGAATGTTATTTTCTATTGAATAAAGTAAAAAAATACCAAGGGTACCATTTAAAAATCAAAAGTTGTAGTCATTCCGGTGAAACAGGAAGTGACCAAAAACAATTGAATACGTCAATCAATCTTAATTTATGGCATATACCAAATATATAATAATAATAATAATAATATACCAAATCTCGTTTTTTTTATCTAAAAAAATTAAAATGTTATAGGGGTGAGCCACTATTGAGACGCACCCGGTATATAACATTAATATTACATAATATACAATTTCACCTCGAATAAAATAATTTCAGAAATCTATTTTCTTTGAATACCGCAGCTTTCCACGCTCGCACTCACCGCTGGTGCTGAAGCTGACGGTAGGTTTCAGCATTTGGAATGTGACTACAACGTGCAGTATTAAACTCAGGCGGGATGAAATTCCTCGAAAAAAAAAACCCGCTGGACCCCGGACTATTAACAACGGAGAAAAGTACCAGGGAAATTGGAATTCTTCCATGCTAGCGAACTACTGTTAGACTCTTGTTACAGATGCGCTAGAACCAGTTCACAAAAGAATTGCAAAAATACACCGCATATAGTGACCCTAAAAATATAAAAGTATCTGGTTTTTCTTATTTTATCAAAAATAAAATTAACAAAACATGGTTGGAGGATATTTTGCCTCAATTAGTTGTGTTGTATAGGACGCATACTATTTTGTGGGGTCCCAAAGACAAAAATTATTGGAAAAAAAGTATATTTATTTATAGAATGACATTTATTCAACTACCACCTGAAAAACATATTAGTACACACCCCTTTTCTTCTTGTAGCAACTTTTTTTTACCATAATTAAAAAAACTAATAGTACATTTAAAATCTGCATTACGTTTCTCAGTTGAAGTGGGTCTCCAATTTTTTCCAAAAATTTTATAGCCCCTTTTTTTCATGTTTAAAAAAAGCTGAAAATTTTTTGAGTGGTTTTAGGTAAACATGGTTGGTACTATTCGAAAGAGGGGCAGAAATTATATACCTCCTGAAAATTACACAACGATTGAACAAAGGAAAATCTAAATATACAAATTTTAAATTTGCTAAAAATAATAACATTTTTAAGATTTTTGCATTGTCGTGTCGGTCCTATTTTAATCAGCAAAGTCCGGGGGAGTCATCCTAGTAAAATTTTTGTATTGCCCACTTACATTCTGAAATTGTAAATCAGCTAGTAACTTCAAACCGGCTCGTCTACTGTATAAAGCGGTATGCCACCATCGTCGCGGTTTTCTTTTTTAATAATATATGGGCTATAATCATAGCAGCCCCACTGCACACCATTAAAGCAATTGCCTTTTTCTCTTCAGAAGACATCTAAACCAAGACGCGTCAAAAACTGCACTGACACTGAAAAAAGAATATTTCTTGTGTGCTCGCGAGCCATTTACATTTCATATGGATCGTTGCTGGCTCGGACTATGATCTCGCTGTTCTTGCTGTGCTCGCCATATGTATACGCACCACAGGACACTGTCTCCTCAACAAACACCTCAGTAAATTGAAGCTGAGAAACAACGGTGAATGCAGATTCTGTGGGGAAAATGGGGAAACAGCAGCGCTGAAACAACAACTGCTCGTGCCATAAACTTTGGTACGGCTGTTGTGGGAGATGGAGAGCTGGTCTCTGTGGAGCCGTCTCAGATACTGCTTACTTCTCTGAGACTGTATAATGAGTTATAACTCGTTATAATTCAAGAAAGGGAAGATCTGCAAGATCGCAGTGATTAACCCCCCCTCCTAATCATTCTACATTGTACATTCTACAATTGTACCAGACAAATTACAACGTTAAGTTAATTTTTTATGTTAATATTATAAACAAAAGGATAAACGTACAAAAACAACCAATTGTCGTAAGTCGTAACTAGTATATCAGTGGCGTAACTAGACATTTTTGGCGCTCATGCAACTTTCGGTTATTGGCCCTTTGGTCCTGTATCTCAATTATTAACCGGTCTCTATATCAGAGGGCCCCACCGGCGGCGACTGCGGGGGTGTATCCACGCCACTGGTCGAGTAATAGAGATTTTTGCGCACGACATTTTGTGTACAAACGCTGATCAGGCATAAATGAAATTCGAACGAAGTTTAGGTAGTTACTTTATATTTACTTAAACATTCAAAAATATAAGTGTATTTATGTATAACTGATATCCTATAGTCTCCCACGATTCTATTATATCTTATGAAAATACTTTAAGTAAACTTCAATGCAAAAATAAAGCCAATAACAACCATATAAATAAACCAAATACCTACTACTTCTTCAAATAAAAAGTGGGCTCTCATCTATATATTTTAATTGCGCTAGCTTCCTTTAACATCAGACACCGTGATCATAGATTAAAGGTGGCAGGTTGAAGGTGAAATTAAGTTCATAGTTTTAATGCATCTAAGTAGTAAAAAAATGAAAGTTGCAATAATTGGTGGTGGTCCTGCTGGTCTTGCCGCAGTAAAACATTGTTTGGAACAAAATATCGAATGTACTGCTTTTGAGCAAACGGAAAATATAGGAGGAACTTGGATTTACACCGACAACATAGAAGAAGATGAAAATGGAGTACCGGTTCATACAGCAATGTACCAGGGATTGCGGTAAACTGCATAATGCGTCTAATTGGACAATATTTATTAACATTAATGAATGCTAATGACATTAATTTGCTAATGTTGTTTTTTTTTCAAAAACTTAACAATACTGATCAGGCGCGTGCGGTCCACGTTTGAGACCTAAGAGAGAGAAACCATGATTTTTAATTAATAATTCATACATATACATACATACTGCCATTACTCGCTGACGAGTATTTGACACGCATCAGAAGATGGTCATGCAAGGCGTTTTTTCTTTCATGAGCTTTTCTGTGACTGAAAAGCTCGATACACCAAACCGGGACATTCAAAAATCTCATTGCTTTGTTGCCTCTTTACTTTGTGGTTGTCGCTATTAACTGAGTTTACAATTCTTCTCCATTTAGTTCTATTGTGAGCTGCTTCTTCCCACTCATTCTGCATGTTAATCCCCTTTAAGTTTTCGTGGAAAATGTCCTTGTATATCTTTTGAGTTGTCCAACCGGCCTCCTCTTACCGTCTACAAGAGATTTTGGTATGCAGTTTTCTTGCATTCTGCATACGTGACTAGTCCATCTTAAGCGGGATTTGGTACCCATGACTTCAATACCCTCGAGGTTAGCTTTTTCAGGGACCCATACGTTTGATACATGATGGAACCACCGGATTCTTAAGAGTTGTCTTAGGTGTCTCTGTTGCAGCTTGTCTAATACGCTCATGTGTCGGCGGTACGGCACCCAGGGTTTCGCTCCCATATAACATGGTGGGGATTATAATTGCTGTACTCAAGTCATGATTGTAGAAAACCCAGTCTTTTAATTTCCAGAATGCTCTTGAGGCGCTGCTAATCCTGTGCTGAATTTCAGAGTCGATATTGGCCTTTTCCGAAATAAAGCTGCCGAGGTAATTGAATTCCGCTACATATTCCAATAGTTCTTCTCCGATTTTTATAGCATTGTTGTGATATTCAGGGGGAGTGCACATGATTTTGGTTTTGTCGATGTTTAGCTTAAGGCCCAAAGCCTCGTATGCCCAGGTATATGTGTTCAACATTTCTTGTAATTGTTGTAACGTGTTTGCAACTAGAGCGCAGTCATCAGCGTATTGAAGTTCTGTGATGAATTTTGTACATGTTTTTGCCTTGAGCAGTGGCGCATTAAGACAAATTTGCGCCCTAGGCTAATAAAAATTTGTTCTGTTATTGGAATATCTAATACATCGAGGCTGTTATACTGAGGTATTGTGTTTAGTGCTTCCATATTGGGGAATTATTGAACAGACATTTGAATTAATCATTCAAATGTCTAGGGCATACAAAAATATTTTTTGACATTTTTATTACCTTTATCGAATCGCTTCCTCTTCCAAATGTTTCACCGCACGTCACTGATTTAAAGCCCATATTTAAAGCATTAAATAAAATTTCCTTCGATAGAACAACTCATTTGTCCAAACCAATACTTGCAGTCGATGACAGTCAATATAATTTGGCGAGGTCCAATCTCTATTGTCTAAAATTAACACTAATTATTATAGAAAGATTAAAATGGGATATAACGTTTTCAGACACACATAAATCTATATCAAACAATTATTTTTCTAGAATTTTACTACACCATTTAAAAATCAGTTTTACTCGACATATAGAAATAAATTACAACCTGCTTAAGACCAAAACTGGCAGTAAGCGCCACTAAAAAGAAGAGAACTCTTTAAACAACCCTTTAAAGGGTTAGTCAAAAAACCTTTTAAAGGGAGTCAAAGAACCCTTTAGATAAAAAAATAAATGACGTCTAGGGCTTGCCCTCGCCAAAATTGTCATCGATTGTCAGCCCCCAGCCGTATTTGACGCAGTTTTTTCGATCGAATGGTGCTTCAATGAAATAATTTTTCAGTATTGTTAAGTTTTTAGTAGTAGAGCTGGAAGACGAAAAAAGACTCTTAGTCTAGGCCTTAACGTTTATATTGTTAAACTTCTTTAACTTAAAATATAAACATTCTTAATTTTTAATATGTAAACATTTTAATATAAACGTTGAGACCGATACTTTGAGTCTTTTTTCGTCTTCTTTTTAATTTAAACCCGAAGAATGGACGCTTTCTTTAAATATAGTAGAGCTGGGCTTGTTTTGTTACAGTATTAACTTTTCGCCCGAAATATTTTTTTGTTCCATTTTCAAGCGTAATCTTTATACGTTAAATTAAGTATAAGATAAATTGTGTTTTTTATTATTTTCACAGAAATCTAAACAAAAGCCTTATGTGCAACTGCACAGTGCACTAATAGCATTTGAAAGTATTTTATTTGCGTTAGCATATTATAAGATATATGCCATTTAAAACATGGTAAATTATAACTGGTTATAAAAACGATTCAGATATTTGCGAGAGTATTTTTTATTTAAAGAATATTAAAATAGAAACTAAAAATCTAAGAAACTATTAGATAAAAAGAAAATAAAGCACTTAAACATGGGTCTTTGTACCACAAAATAAAATATATAAACCTATCAACCACGCCATTTTTTGACACCTTGTATATTTTTAACATTATAGGAGTGAGATGTTTAATATGGGCGTTTCTCTATGGTATCATCTTTCACGAAGCTTTATTAAAATATTTTTATACACACATATTATGTATATAATTTGGAATATTTTAGTACAACTTTACCCAGTCGGCTTATGGAGTTTGAAAACTTTCCTCACATGTCCAAAGAGAACTTTTATATCACACAACCAGACGTTTTGGAGTATATTAAGTCTTACGCTAACCACTTTAACTTATTACCTCACATAAAGGTAAGTTTTTGTCTAAAAATGTACATACTGTTGCGGACCCCTGTGAACTCGACCTAACCTAACTATATGTCCCGCCCTCAGATGACCTTAACATCGCATTAAAGAATAGACACCGTAATGATTCATTCGTTCGAGAAGAATCGAGTCCCACTGGAATGGACTAGTACATACGAGAACATTCGAAAACCTTCTCTACGCACCTAACGATCTATGGACTATTCTAGAGTTCTTTACCTGTCGGTATAAAAGCCGGCGGCTGTGGCCTACAGGGGGCAGTTATAAATCGACAAGTGCAGTTGACGCGCTAAAATTCAAAATAAATTCTTAGTTATAAATCGATAAGTGCAGTTGACGCGCTAAAATTCAAAATAAATTCTTAGTTATAAATAGTTTGTAAATAGTTCTATAAGTCTTTTATCGTTATTGTTTTTTGTTAATTAGTGCTAAATAAATAGTGTTTAAATAAATTGTGACTTTCTATCCACACGGAACCGACGAAAAACGTAACAATTGGTGTCAAGTGTGGCGTATGTGATAGACTAGGAAAATAAAAAGACAGACAATGGCTCCGAAAAAATTGTTGAAAGACTTGAAAGTGTCGGAATTAAAATGCGTACTGGAAGAGAGGAAATGCGAAACAGATGGAAAGAAAAGCATTTTACAAGCCAGACTGAGAGACGTTTTGATTGAGGAAGGTGAGGATCCTGACACATTTTGCTTTGAGCTGGAAGGTGACCTTGACTCGTCCTTACAAAAATTAGACGACAACTTGAACAATTTGAATAGTAAAATAACTGACTTGGAAGTTAATTTAGAAGATAAGATCGCAGAAAATTCTAAAGACATACAGGCCAGCTTCAATAATAAAATATTGAATTTAGAACAAAGTTTATACAACAAGATAACAGAAAACTCCAAGGAATTAGAAGAAAAGATAATAGATACACAAGACAAAATAGCACAGATTGAGGACGATGTTAACAGAAAAATCGAAATTTTAAAAGAAGAAATAGCGAAGTCAAATTCACCAAAATGTCAAGAAACATCGGAGGGACCGAAACTAGTCGAAAATAGGTATGCCTCAAAATCAGTTATAAAACCTCCACAGTTTGACGGAAAAACCGCTTGGGCCAATTATTTTTGCCAGTTTGAGGCCGCTGCGAGAGCGAACGGATGGACAATCGCTGAAAAGGCTACCGCTTTGACTGTCGCACTGCGAGGAGATGCGACTGATATCCTGCAGACACTGTCACCATCAGAACAGGGAGATTATCAGCAATTGGTACATTTAGAAATAAGGTACGGCCAAGCTCATTTGGAACATGTCTATCATTCCCAGCTAAAAAATCGCATTCAAAAGTCAAATGAGTCTCTGCAGGAGTTTGAAGCCGACGTAGCCCCTCGTTCGCCGAGAATGTTATGGAGCGGTTGGCAGTACAGGCATTCTCCGACGGCTTACGTGACAACGAGACAAGACAAGCACTTCTCCTAGCCCACCCAACGCACTTGGTGGACGCTTTAGCACGTGCCCTAGAATTCGAGGCCGCGAAACAAAGTTCTCGGTCTTTAGGAAAAGTACGGGCCATCGACGAATGTTCCGACGAATCCGTGGAAGGGATTGTTCGGAAAGTAATGGACCAGTACATGGGCAAGAAGGGACCGATTCGTTGCTGGAACTGCGGACAGGTGGGACACGTGCGAAGCCGTTGTAAGGAGAAGAACGAAGAACCGGCTCCGTCGAGGTCGGAAAACTACTAAGGGTCGAAATGAAGAGGCACACGTCGACCTGTACCCAACATGCCCCAACGAAAACTGCTCAAGTCGCCTCGCTACAACACAAATTCAACAGCATTTTTGTGGATGGTTTTGTTGATGGAGAGTTCCGGACCATGCTGTTGGATACAGGTGCGACGAAAACTATCATCAGACCGGACATTCTTAAAACATCGAAGAAGGTTAAAACAACACAATGGCGACTACGTACTGCTACGGGGGGCTCCGCTGCTGTCCATGGAGAAGTAAACCTTACTTTTGTTATTGGGAGCACCATTTTTGAACATCCAGTGTTAGTAGCAGATATCGAAGATGAACTTATTCTCGGAATGGACATCATGACCACTAAAGGTTTTGAGCTAAACCTCAAACAAGGAATTTTGAAAATAAATGAAGAAGAAGTGGTTCTGCATCGAAAATGTGAGGAGACGCTTCGCGTGGTGGTAGCAGAAGATGTTTCGATCCCTGAGCGCTGTGAGATATTTTTGGATGGTTGCCTAGAAGGTAAAATGAATAATGGGAGTATTATTCTGTTGGAGCCAAGGAACCATGACAGCGAAATAGGACGAGGGATCGCTGTTGGAAAAGCCCTGCTACGAGCGAAGAAAACTGTACCGGTGAGAGTAATGAACACGAATTATTATTCTGTATCCTTGAAGAAGGGAACCCTCTTAGGGTACTGTTGTTCGGTCTCCTCAGTCGTTCGAAGCGTGGAAGCCTCCAAAGTTTCGACTTCAAAAATTCCGGACAAAATGGTGAAGGAGTTAGTAAACGTTAAAGGATTATCTCCCGAAAATAGAAGAAAATTGAGAAACCTGATAATCAAGTATCAAGATGTGTTTGATAAAGGAGAAGCAGGACAGAGAGGTCGTACCAATTTAGTACAACACAAAATTGATACCGGAGATGCACGACCAATCAAACAAAATCCGAGAAGACTTCCGCTCGCCAAACGTGAAGAAGCTGATAAAATCCTTCGAGAAATGAAAGAAGAGGGTGTCATCGAACCATCTAACAGCCCGTGGACATCGCCGGTAGTACTAGTAAAGAAGAAAGACGGTACCACCAGGTTCTGTGTTGATTATCGGCAGCTCAATAATGTTACCAAGAAGGATAGTTATCCCCTGCCGAGGATAGACGATACTCTAGACACGCTGGCGGGGTCAACGATATTCTCTACGTTAGATCTGAAGAGTGGATATTGGCAAGTCGACATGGCGCCGAAAGACAGAGAGAAGACAGCGTTCTCGGTGGGCTCCGGACTGTGGCAATTTACCGTCATGCCTTTTGGATTGTGCAACGCGCCAGCTACCTTTGAGAGACTAATGGAGTCTGTGTTAAAGGGACTATCCTGGACTACCTGTTTAGTGTACCTGGATGACATCATAGTGGTTGGGAAATCCTTTGACGATCATCTGAAGAATTTGGAAGAAGTTTTCAAGCAACTAGGGAGCTCTGGTTTGAAACTTAGCCCAAAGAAATGTCATCTGTGTCAAGAAAAGGTACACTACTTGGGCCATGTAGTCTCGTCCCAAGGAGTTGCGGTAGATCCACAGAAGACCAAAACAGTGGAAGAGTGGCCAATACCTAAAGATAAACATGAACTACGAAGCTTTTTGGGACTATGCACATACTATCGCCGCTATGTACAGGGTTTCGCCACCATCGCAAAACCATTGACCAGACTTACCGAAGGCGAGAGGCGTTTCTCTTGGGACTCAGATTCTGACGAGGCATTCCGAAAATTGAAGAAGGCCCTGACTAGTGCGCCCATACTTAGCTACCCTCTTGGCAACGGAAACTTTATATTGGATACCGACGCTAGCAATGTTGCGTTAGGCGCTGTTCTGTCTCAGATCCAGGATGGTCAAGAAAAGTAATTGGTTATTTTAGTAAGACCTTGTCGAAACCGGAAAGGAACTACTGTGTAACCAGACGAGAATTACTAGCGGTAGTTAAAGCAGTGGAACACTTCTACAAGTATCTCTATGGAAGAAAGTTCTTGTTAAGAACAGACCATGCTGCTTTGAAATGGCTGTTGCAGTTTAAGAATCCTGAAGGGCAGGTAGCTAGATGGATTGAACGATTACAAGAATTTGACTTCGACACAGAACATCGAGCTGGGGCAATCCATCGAAATGCCGACGCACTTTCCAGAAGACCTTGTGCTAAGGACTGTAAGCATTGTTCCCGAGCAGAAGAGAAAGAAGCGAAACTCCTAAGAACAACTGTGGTTAACGATACTTAGCAACCCGAAGATCTTGCAAACGACCAAATCAGTGACCCAGAATTAGGCTTAGTGATTAACTGGAAAAACGCGGACCAAAGACCAACGTGGGAGGAAGTTTGCAGATATTCGCCGAACGTGAAGTCGTACTGGGCCCAGTGGAATTCCTTGGTAATAGATGATGGGTTACTCCGCCGTGTGATTGAGAGGCCAGAGGGGCAAGAAGAGAGAAGGCAGATCGTCATTCCAAAGAAGAGGGTCCCGGAGGTCTTGCAGGAAGTTCACAATGGAACCAGCGGTGGACATCTTGGTGTTACCAAGACACTTGGCAAGCTGCGAGAACGGTTCTACTGGGTGAACTGCAAAGAAGATGTGAGGGCCTGGTGTAAGAAATGTGACATTTGCGCAGCCATTAATGGGCCACAAAAGCGTGGTAAAGCCCCTATGCGCCAGTACAATGTTGGTAGTCCCTTCGAACGAATAGCGATCGACGTGGCTGGTCCTTTCCCGGAGACGAACGATGGCAACAAATACATTGTGGTAGTAATGGATTACTTCAGCAAATGGGTCGAGGCCTACGCGTTGCCAAATCAAGAAGCGTCCACGATTGCTGATGCCCTTGTTAAAGAATGGATCTGCAGGTTTGGTGTTCCCATGGAGCTTCATTCAGATCAGGGAAGAAACTTTGAGTCCAATCTGTTCCAAGGCGTCTGTGAAGTCCTGAACATCCGCAAGACCAGGACGACTGCTCTACATCCACAATCCGATGGGATGGTTGAACGCATGAACAGAACTATCAACCGTTATCTGGCCAAAGTAGTCTCTGACCACCAAAGAGACTGGGACAAATTTCTTCACCTGTTCCTGTTGGCCTACCGTTCATCCGTCCAAGAATCTACAGGGCAAACTCCAGCCAGCATCGTTATGGGACGGGAAGTGCGCCTACCCTGTGATCTGAAATTTGGTTGCCGACCGGGAGAAGAAGTCGCCGGAGAAGATT